GGTCTCGCCTCTGTCAGGCTGGTTTCGAACTCCTGACCTTGAGCAATCTGCCCGCCAGCTGTAATCCCAGAGTGCTAGGATTATAGGCGTGAGCCACTGCACCGCCTGTCTTTCTTTTTCTACCCTCTGTCCCATTCCTTCTCACCTCCCATGCCCACTTTGGGCCCTGTATTTTATCTATCTAAATCTTTTCCCCACAATTCAATGGGGGGAAGGTGGAGTTAGGCAATAAACATTTGAACACGTACTCATAACTAAAGAAATATAAATCAAAGTGACAAGGAGATACCAGTATTTTTACCTAATGAATAGGAAAGACATTTATGTATTTTCACAATCATCCTGGCAGAGGTGTCAGTAAACAGGTACTCTTAGAACCTGCTGACAAGAGGGGCAAATGGGTGCAAACTGTCCAGCACACGTTTGACAGTATCTAATAAGATTTATAATACACATTCTTAGATCTAACAATCCACAGCTAGAATTTAAGATTTTTCTATAAAAGTATGTCAGGGTACATATACTCATTGCATATAAAGATGTCCAATGCAGCAATATACAAATAACAAGAAAGTGGAAACAAAGTATCCATCAAAGTGGAGCTTAAATAATTGTGCCATATTAGTGAGATAGAATAGGTGCCTTTGAAAAGAATGAGGTAAAGCTGGGTGCAGAAGCTTCATTTCATTCCCAGCTACTCAGGAGGATTGCTTGAGCCAAAAGTTCAAGACCAGCCTGGGCAATAGAGAGATCCTGGCTCTACAAAAATAAAATAAAATAAATGAGCCAGTGTTGTGGAACGCCTGTGTCCCAGGTCAGGAGGCTAAGGCAGGTAGATTACCTAAACCCAAGAGTTTGAGGTTGCAATGAATTATGACCATGCTACTGCCCTCTACCCTGGTGACAGAGCAAGCCCTTTTCTCAAAAAGAATCAGGTAAAAATTTTGGTGCTTATTTATCTCTGCAATATACTATTAAACAAATTAAAAAAAATCAAGGCTGGGCGAGGTGGTTCACGCCTGTAATCCTGCACTCTAGGAGGCCAAGGCGGGCAGATTGCTCGAGGTCAGGAGTTCGAAACCAGCCTGAGCAAGAGTAAGACCCCGTCTCTACTATAAATAGAAAGAAATTAATTGGCCAACTAATATATATAGAAAAATTAGCTGGGCATGGTGGCACATGCCTGTAGTCCCAGTTACTCGGGAGGCTGAGGCAGAAGGATCGCTTGAGCTCAGGAGTTTGAGGTTGCTGTGAGCTAGGCTGACGCCATGGCACTCACTCTAGCCTGGGCAACAAAGCAAGACTCTGTCTCAAAAAAAAAATAAGGAAGGTTGCTTGTACAATGGCCCTATGGTGCAATTATTTAATAAAAAAGTAAAACATATAGATACTTGAGGATATTTCCTTTTTTTCCTGAAAAGATTATAAAAATAGTGGTACATTAAGGGGAGGCAGGAAGGGCTTTTAGTTTTCACTTTGGGCTTTTTTCTACTGTTTGAACTTTCTAACCTTATACTGCATAGTTCTTTTTTTTTTTTTAACAAGCAGATTATAACCCATTATTTTTTTCCTTTGTACATTTCTGGTTAAAAAAAAAAAGAAAAGAAAAACCAACAAGGCTGGGGACAGTGGCTCATGCCTGAATTACCATAGTGAGACCCCATCTCAAAAAGTAGAACAATTAGCTGGTGTGGTGGCACACACCTGTATTAACAGCTACTCGGGAGGCTGAGGCAGGAGGATCTCTTGAGCCCAGTAGTTGGAGGTTACAGGGAGCTATGATGATGCCACTGTACTCTAGCCTGGGCAATATAGCAAGAACCTGTCTCAAAAATAAAAAAAGAAAAAAGAGAAAGAAAAGGCAATCCAACAAAAAATCATAAATTCTTTGGTATAAAGAAAATATTTTTATTACTCCAGTGATCTAAACAAGAAAAAAAGTTAGATTATCAATTATGCTATGGCTAAAACTCATTCACATTGTTGTGAATTTTGTAGTTTTATGCTATTTATTATGTAAAGACTAGGAATTGGGTTGGTCCAAGTTTAGTGGTATTTACAACTAATTGGTCACAACCATTTACAAATTCCCTTGTTCCTTCTCCACTGCTTCACTTGACCAGCCTTTTTTTTTTTTTTTTTATTACTTTTTTTCCAGAGACCATAACAGACTTTTTTTTTTTTTTTTTAAAGGACTAGGATATGTAACCTTAACATTTGTATCCCCACAATATGCTGGTAAAAAAAAAAATAATAATAATCAAGGGGGGAGGGGGGACAAGGGCAATATATGTAACCTTAACATTTTTATGTCCACAATATGCTGGAACAAATTTTTAAAAAATTAAATTAAAAAGGACTAGGAATTTTTTCTTTTTAATGGAATTTCAAGTGTTAGTAAATGGGACAGGAGAAAAATGAAGGGGGGAGGTCAGCTGGCTCTAACACTGACCACTCCTTTGCTCAATCCCTGCTTTTCTACTCCCTGCCAGGAGCTCTAGGACAGAGTGGAAGAACCTTCAGGGCACTGGTGTCAGCAAGCATACAAAATATATACCTGAAAATGGAAGGGTTAAGTACTGTTTTAATTTTCCCGGCTATTGCCCAATTGCCTTCCTAAAACAGTCTATCGACTCACATTCCCAACAGCGGTATAGGAAAGTGTTCCCTCAAACATTAACCTATACTAGGTATAATTTAAAAAAATTTCTTTTGCCCAAATCTCTTCTAAAAAAAATCTTGGAGCAGCCTAAAAAAAAAAAGATAAAAAAAATCTTGACATTTTGATTTTCATCTTTTCTTTCTTTCTTTCTTTTTTTTTTTTTTTTTTTTTGAGACAGGGTCTCACTCTGTCACCCTAGATAGAGTGCAGTGGTGTCATCATAGCTCACTGCAACCTCAAACTCCTGGGCTCAAGTGATCCTCCTGTCTCAGCCTCCTAAATTGCTGGGACTACAGGTATGTACCACCATGCCAGGCTAATTTTTCTATTTTTTGTACAGACAGGGTCTCACTATTGATCAGGCTGAATATCTTTTCATAAGCTTATGGACTATGTTTGTTTTTCTATGAAATACTTGTTCATATCTTTTGCTCAATTTTCTATTTGATCGTTAGTACTTAACTGATTTGTAAGAGCTGTTATATGTTACGGAAATTAACCCTTTGGCATATTTGTTGCAAATATTTTTTTTCAGTTTGTCCTTTTACTTTATAAATTGTGTTTTTTCCAAACAAAAGTTTAAATTTTTGGTCTAAAAATTATCAATATTATGATTTATGGTTTTTAGATCTTGTGTCATTCAAAGGTTTTAATCAAAAAAGCAACACAATCCAATTTGCATATAAAAAAGAACAGGGCTATGTGGAAAATGGATTGGTAGTGGGCAACACATAACGAGAAAGAAGTCAGGAGACCAATTAGGAGGCTGATTTAATAGTGAGAAATGAGGGTAGCTTGGGACTGGGAGGGTGGGGGTAGAAGGGAGGATGTGGAGAAAAAAGAGGTAGATTGATGTTCAGTTTTATATATATATATATATATTTTTTTTTTTTTTTTTTTTTTGAGACAGAGTCTCACTTCTGTTGCCCTGGCTGGAGTGCCATGGCATCAGCTTGGCTCACAGCAACCTCAAATTCATGGGTTCAAGCGCGATCCTCCTGCCTCAGCCTTCCAAGTAGTTGGGACCACAAGCATGCACCACCATGCCCCACTAATTTTTTTTTTTTTTTGAAACAGAGTCTTGCTTTGTTGCCCAGGCTAGAGTGAGTGCCATGGTGTCAGCCTAGCTCACAACAACCTCAAACTCCTGGGCTCAACCAATCCTACTGCCTCAGCCTCCCGAGTAGTTGGGACTACAGGATGTACCACCATGCCCGGCTAATATTTTCTATACACATTAGTTGGCCAATTAATTTCTTTCTATTTTTAGTAGAGACTGGGTCTCGCTGTTGCTCAGGCTAGTTTTGAACTCCTGACCTCAGCAATCTGCCCGCCTCGGCCTCCCAGAGCGCTGAGATTACAGGCGGGAACCACCACACCGGCCCTGCTAATTTTTTTATATGTATTTTTTTAGTTAGCCAATTAAGTTATTTCTATGTATAGTAGAGACAGGGTCTCCCTCTTGCTCAGGCTGGTCTCAAACTCCTGACCTTGAGCAATCCACCCGCCTCCCAGAGTGTTAGGATTACAGGCGTGAGCCACCCTGCCCGGCCTGGTTAGATACATATTGAGGGAGAAATGTAACTGCAATCCTGCCCTTGGATTCCAGAAGAAACCAGTGTCTCTGTAAAAAATTATTTTTGTTTAAGCTAACTGGAGTTGCTTTCCGCTACTCTTATGCAAGGGCCTTAGCAAGGATATCCACCTGAACTGTGTGAATAATCAATGTGTTACTCTAGATGAAAAAGTCTTAACAAATTTTCCAACAATTTAGAGAAAGATATCCAGAGAGCACAGTATTTTCATTTAAACCTACAATCCAAAGTAGATCTAGAGAGAACAGTTTTCAGTGATGTTGGAAACAGGGGCCAAACCTGCTCCTCTGGTCTCTCCCATATTAGGCCATGTTCTCCTTAATTCCCATAGGAGTTATTAGGCAGTGAGGTTCTGGAAAGGGACACACATACTGATTTATTACTCACATAGAAGCTTCTCCTTTTGCAGGGTATCTGGTATCAAATCATCTCTTTCCCCAAAAGAGCCATTCAATAGGTATCGAGAGTTATCCTTCCAAACATGCTGATGCGTAGCACAGTTTGGTAAACTGCCTCTCTGAGCTAAAAATAGGTGGTATAATTCAAGTTGCTGGATGGCTGGCTCACCATTTCTTAACATACAGGTCAATACCAAAACCACTACTACCCAAATCACCACTTCTATCACTAACCACCACCACAGGCCTTTGCAATGAATATGTGCCATTTTTCAAAGAGCTTTCACATTTCAACTTCTCTTGGTTAAGCATAATTATCCCATTTACAGCTGAGGAAACAAGAGAGGAGGCAGACTTGAGAAGCAGCATGGTGTAGTGGAACAAGAAAGGGCTTGGGAGACAGAAAGACCTGGTAGCAAGAGATGTGTTGGGGCTCAGAAAATGATACCCCAAAAGTTTGGCACTTTTGCATACTGAACACTTTGAACTAAAATAGGAAGGCCTTAGAAGCTGCCTCATAAACAAGGACTTTTTTTTTTTTTGAGACAGAGTCTCACTCTGTTGCCTGGGCTAGAGTGCTATGGCGTCAGCCTAGCTCACAGCAACCTCAAACTCCTGGGCTCAAGTAATCCTTCTGTCTCAGCCTATGGAGTAGTTGGGACTACAGGCATGCACTATATAGTATAATTATATACTGATAATATATATATATAATATTATATATATATATGTACCAAATTATATTTCTTCCCTTCCCTCTTTTTTTTTCTTGAGACAGAGTCTCACTTTGTTGCCCCAGGCTAGAGTGAGTGCCGTGCATCAGCCTAGCACAGCAACCTCAAACTCCTGGGCCTCAAGCGATCCTGCTGCCTCAGCCTCCCAAGTAGCTGGGACTACAGGCATGCACCATCATGCCCGGCTAATTTTTTCTATATATATCAATGGCCAATTAATTCTATTTATGTTAGAGACTGGTCTCGCTCTTGCTCAGGCTGGTTTCGAACTCCTGACCTTGAGCAATCTGCCCGCCAGCTGTAATCCCAGAGTGCTAGGATTATAGGCGTGAGCCACTGCACCGCCCTGTCTTTCTTTTTCTACCCTCTGTCATTCCTTCTCACCTCCCCATGCCCACTTTGGGGCCCTGTATTTTATCTATCTAAATCTTTTCCCCACAATTCAATGGGGGAAAGGTGGAGTTAGGAATAACCATTTGAAACGTACTCATAACTAAAAATATAAATCAAAGTGACAAGGAGTACCAGTATTTTTACCTAATGAATAAGAAGACATTTATGTATTTTCACAATCATCCTGGCAGAGGTGTCAGAAAACAGGTACTCTTAGAACCTGCTGACAAGAGGGGCAAATGGGTGCAAACTGTCCAGAACACAGTTTGACAGTATCTAATAAGATTTATAACATACACATTCTTAGATCTAACAATCCACAGCTAAGAATTTAAAGATTTTTCTCATAAAAGTATGTCAGGATACATATACTCATTGCATATAAAGATGTCCAATGCACCAATATACAAATAACAAGAAAGTGGAAACAAAGTATCCATCAATAAGGAGCTTAATAATTGCCATATTAGTGAGATGGAATAGGTGCCTTTGAAAAGAATGAGGTAAAGCTGGGGCAGAAGCTTCATTTCATTCCCAGCACTCAGGAGGATTGCTTGAGCCCAAGAGTTCAAGACAAGCCTGGGCAATAGGAGATCCTGGCTCTACAAAAATAAAATAAAATAAATGAGCCAGGTGTTGTGGAACACGCCTTGTCCAGGTCAGAGGCTAAGGCAGTAGATTACCTAAACCCAGAGAGTTTGAGGTTGCAATGAATTATACCATGCTACTGCCCTCACCCTGGTGACAGGCAAGCCCTTGTCTCAAAAAGAATCAGGTAAAATTTTTGGTGCTTATTTATCTCTGCAATATACTATTAAACAAATTAAAAAAAACAAGGCTGGGCGAGTGGTTCACGCCTGTAATCCTAGCACTCTAGGAGGCCAAGCGGGCAGATTGCTCGAGGTCAGGAGTTCGAAACCAGCCTGAGCAAGAGATGACCCCGTCTCTACTATAAATAGAAAGAAATTAATTGGCCAATAATATATTAGAAAATTAGCTGGGCATGGTGGCACATGCTGTAGTCCCAGTTACTCGGGAGGCTGAGGCAGAAGGATCGCTTGAGCTCAGGAGTTTGAGTTGCTGTGAGCTAGGCTGACGCCAATGGCACTCACTCTAGCCTGGGCAACAAAGCAGACTCTGTCTCAAAAAAAAAATCAAAGAAGGTTGCTGTACAATGCCCTATGTGCAATTATTTAATAAAAAAGTAAAACATATAGATACTTGAGGATATATCCTTTTTTTCTGAAAAGAATTATAAAAATAGTGGTACATTAAGGGAGGCAGGAAGGGCTTTTAGTTTTCACTTTGGGCTTTTTTCTACTGTTTGAACTTTCTAACCTTATACTGCATAGTTCTTTTTTTTTTTTTAACAAGCAGATTATAACCCATTATTTTTTTTTCTTTGTACATTTCTGGTTAAAAAAAAGAAAAGAAAAACCAACAAGGCTGGGACAGTGGCTCATGCCTGATTTACCATAGTAGACCCATCTCTACAAAAAGTAGAAAAATTAGCTGGTGTGGTGGCACACCACTGTAATAACAGCTACTCGGGAGGCTGAGGCAGGAGGATCTCTGTGAGCCCAGTAGTTGAGGTTACAGGGAGCATGATGATGCCACTGTACTCTAGCCTGGGCAATATAGCAAGAACCTGTCTCAAAAATAAAAGAAAAAAGAGAAAGAAAAGGCAATCAACAAAAAATCATAAATTCTTGGTATAAAGAATAATTTCATTACTCCAGTGATCTAACAAGAAAAAAGTTAGATTATCAATTATGCTATGGCTAAAACCATCACATTGTTTGATTTGTAGTTTTATGCTATTTTTATGTAAAAGCTAGGAATTGGGTTGGTCCAAGTTTAGTGGATATTTACAACTAAATTGGTACAACCATTTACAAATCTCCTCTTGTTCCTTCTCCACTGTTCACCTTGAAGCCTCCTTTTTTTTTTTTTTTTTATTTTTTTCCAGAAGAACCGAACAGACTTTTTTTTTTTTTTCTAAAGGACTAGATATGTAACCGTAACATTTGTTATCCCCACAATTGCTGGTAAAAAAAAATAATAATAATCAACCGGGGAAGGCACGGCCCGCTGTGCTCACCCCTGTAATCCTAGCTCTTGGGGCCGAGGCGGGCGGATTGCTCAAGGTCAGGAGTTCAAAACCAGCCTGAGCAATGAGCGAGACCCGTCTCTACTATAAATAGAAAGAAATAATTGGCCAACTGATATATATATAAAAAAAAAATTAGCCGGGCATGGTGCGCATGCCTGTAGTCCAGCTACCCGGGAGGCTGAGGCAGAGGAAATCGCTTGAGCCCAGGATTTTGAGGTTGCTGTGAGCAGCGGCTGACGCCACGGCACTCACTCTAGCCTGGACAACAAAGTGAGACTCTGTCTCAAAAAAAAAAAAAAAAAAAAAAAAAAAAAATAATCAACGGGGGATGGGGGCTCAAGGTGCATATAGTGTAACTTAACATTTGTATCATCCCTACATATGCTCGGTAAAAAAAAAATAAATAAATTGAGGGGGAGTGGGGAACAAGGGCAATATATGTAACCTTAACATTTTAGTCCACAATATGCTGGGAACAAATTTTTAAAAATTGATAAAAAGGACCTAGAATTTTTTCTCTGTTTAATGGAAATTCCAAGTGTTAGTAAATGGGAAGGAAAAAAAATGAAAGGGGAGGTCAGCTGGTCTACACTGACCAACTTCCTTTGCTCAATCCTGCTTTCTACTCCTGCCAGGAGCTCTAGGACAGAGTGGAAGAACCTTCCAGGGCACTGGAGTCCAAGCAAGTACACAATATATATACCTGAAAAGAAGGGTGTAAGTACTGTTTTAATTTTCCCGCCTATTGCCCAATTGACCTTCCCTAACAACATCTACTGACCTCACAATTCCAAACAGCGTATACGGAAATGTTCCTCAACATAACCTATAACCTACGGTATAATTTAAAAAATTTTTTTTGCCCAAATCTCTTCTAAAAAGAAACTTGGAGCAGCTAAAAAAAAAAAGATAAAAAAAATCTTGACATTTTGATTTTCATTCTTCTTCCTTCTTTTTCTCTTGTTTTTTTTTTTTGAGAACCCCAGGGTCCTCCACCCCCCAGAGTGCTAGGATTACAGGTGTGAGCCACCTCGCCCAGCCTTGTACTTTTATTTAAAAACTATACAGGGTAGGGACAGATAATCTTAGGACTCCCAGTAATTGTGCCAACTCAAAATGCCCTGCTCCCCTATTTCCAAACACCCTAAGAGCAGGGCTTCCCCAGCAGAAAATACTGAGTGAGCCCCTCCCTAAATTTTCAGCCTTACCTCTTTTAGAGGGGAGTGAGAAAATGAGAAACATTCAATTGTTTATACAGTAGTGTAAAGCAGAGACATCATGATGCAACTCACTTCTGTAAATGCTTCATAAAATGGATGCAACAGATTGTACTTGCACCAAGAGCTCACAGATATGATCGGCAATGTCATAAGAAAGTCTCTACCATCACCATAAAAAACCTCCAATAAACTCAAAACATAATTAAAAACAATAAAAACTATGTTTTTGTATATATTCATCAATTATACCAAGGCTGGTAAAATTACAATTGAACATTAATACTGAGACAGGAATAATCTAGAAAACAAATTTAAGTACTTAATACATTTTGACCTCTAGGAAGGTATCCTCCCATTCTGAAAAACTCATAAGCATTCTAGTTTATACACTAAGGTAACTTTTGACTTGAGTGAGTGTGTATATCAGTTTTCCAGAGTTTAATCTTTTCAGGGTGAATTAACAGATGTTGACTCTGTCCTGCCTTATACTTCAGCACACAGCACATAAAATTCTAACATCTGGCAGAATAGCAAGACCACCACATACAAGTCATATTACCAATATGATGAATGTTTTCCTTGATGACCTCACATTCTATTGGCCATCTTGGAGCCTGCAGTACCCCCCTAGTAGAGAAAAAGGCAAAGAGCTCTTGAGGTTCTC